AAATTATCAAGTGAGGAGAGGAAAGATCAAAGTTATTTTTATTTTCTCTTGGAACGTAGCCTCAGTCTTTTATCAATTGATTTTTATGAGACTATGATTTTAGAAATTAATCAACATGGAGAGAGATTTTGGGACTAAACATAAAAAATATTTAAATAATCTTTTAGATCATGTCTATAAAAATGAAATTTTGAGAATTCATTTTTATAGAATAAAAAATAAATAAGGGAAATTTATTAAAAATCGGAAATTATAACTCATGACCCGATCGGTCTAGTAGTTCCTGAGGTACAGCAACATTTTTTAAATAAAAAAATACCATACTAATACCACAATAAATATACTCCACAATTTATATTTTTAATTTCTTTTAATATTGATTGGATATATTTTTCGTGAGTTTTTCCGATATAAAATACAGCGATATTTTTTCTGTTTATGATCAATGGTAGCTTCCGCCAACTCCTCATAAACTTTCCCCCCAGCCAATGTATTCTCTCCCCGAGAAAGAAAAAAAAAAAGTACTCCGAAGAATCGCACAGGGAGGACATTCTTTATTTTTTGTTGGTACAGCCTGAGAATTTCATTTTTTGACACCCGGTGTATTTGATTCCACCCTTGTAATAAACCCCAGGGGTTGCCTCGGAACAATTTCACCCTACATGTCATATCGACACCTCACCACCTCTTAAAACGAGGGGTAGTCTGACTGCTAGGTAATTTGCTTTCGTATTATATATTTTTCCTCGTTTTTCAACAGCCGAGATATCTCATCTCTCACCCAGAATTTTTTCTTGTTGTCTATTTGCTGATTGGTAGAGAGGAAATACATCGGGTGGATAAGCCTCTGTGATTTTTCCTTCTGGAAATTTTTGACTTATTTAACTATAGACGGTCCTCGAGGGGAGGAGTGCACAATTATTCTTGCGGCCATTTTGCAACTTCTGGGAATTATCCACCGAATTATGGGAGAGATAAATGTCTGATTGTTTAATTCGATTGAACTTTCTTATTCAGTATTTACGGTTGGTGCCACCTGAAGAAGCCTTGACGATGACAACAAAGACTTTCCCGGCCCTTCTGCTGTCGGGCTTAATCTGATTTAGCAGTATCTTTAGACCAGAAACTCCTCGACGTATACTCCTTTGGTTTCACTCTATTGGCAATCTTATTAGGGTGAAGAGTGATATAAGATCGGTGGAAAGAATTGCCCGAAATTTTTTAATTCGTTCTGCTATTTAGGAAAAAAAAAATCATTTAAACATGATCAACGCGGTTTCAGGGAGATCCAAATCGACTCAAGACCTGATTATTTCAACTTGAATCAAGTTCGAGACATCATTAAAGTAGTCCTGTCGACTTGAAATGACTCGATCCATTTCATAATAAACGACTCGACTTCAACTTGACTCAAGTCTTTCGTCTATGACTCCCCAATTAATTTTTATTTAATCTTAAATGAAAATAATTCAAGTGATTAACCAATTCGAAATCTATATTTAGTCTAAACGACTAGACTTGAATGAAGTCTCAAGAACTTATTTGACTGGCCCTGATTCAAGTCCACTAAAACTGCATTAAATTCCGCGATTCGATCTTAAAAAATCCGAAATGACTGGGAATGACTCAATGGCCCCAAAAGTACCATCCCCATCATCCGACATCCCCCAACATCCCCCAACTTGACTCAACTCACTTCGTCCTTGAAATCCCCATCCACTGGCCCATAACATTCCCCGTCGTCAATTCCACCGGAGATTCTTCTCAAAGAAAAATGCAATTATGTGATCCACATAGTGATGCATGTGAAATTCAATAGAAGATGCAGATTCATCTCATTGAATCCCTTTTTCACGGTATCTGTCCTCCCACGGTCTCTCTCACCGATAGGTAAGAAAGCCATCCCTCATTCCACCTTCTCCTCCACTTTTAGTGGTGGGACTTGGGTTGACACGTACCAAGGGACAAAACTCACCCTAAGAAGCCTTTAAGAACACCCAACCTAAGGTGGTGCACGTGGTGGGGTTATAAAAGTTAACGCATGCGCTTTAAACGTAAAAAGTGACGATCCGCCCCCGGGTTACCGCCCCCCGTTGTCCTCTACCTCATCTGATACCCCCCGTCCACCACCCGTTCACCCTCTAACCACCCCCTGTTCACCCCCTTCTATTTCCCCTCACCTTTAATCCGAGTCTGTCCTCTTCGTTCTGTTTTCACTAGATTTCGTTTATGCTTTTCTTCTTGCTCCTGAGGCCATTGCCATCTCCGTCGGTAGCCCCCCAAGACGTCGGGCTCGGAGACACCTTTTTCAGGGAAAATACTCCGGTAAACTTGGCTTCTGCCTTCACCAGAATTCACGGTCTCATTCGAGTTGTCGCCATCTTTTTTTTCTACTTTTTTTTTTCGGCTTGAAGGAGAAAGAGTCGCTGGGGGCTGGAGGTCCTCTCGAGTGCTCTCTGGTCATTGGTGTACGTTCGCCCGGAATTCTCAAGGTTGTGGCAGTTTTTTTTTTCTTTCTTTTTTTCCCTTTTTTAGTCACCATTTTTTGGGGCATTAATGAGATTTTTTTGACAGCTCCTTCGGTCCCTCTGCGGTTTGTAAACACAAATGGTGCCAATCATTGCTGATCATCGTGGACTATCTGTCGTGTTTCGTGTTCAGTGGATAGACCGTATGGCGTCTCCCCCAGTATCCAGCTATCCTAATTGGTTCACCAACAGGTAATTGTTGGACCATCGATAATTGGTCCAATTAATTTTTCAATGTAAAAGTACAGCGATTATTATTGCACATTCAGATCCACTTGGGTAATCAACTTGACATTTCAGTTGGTCTTTTTTTTTTCGGGTGGCAAATTCTGTCAAAAATATCGAGAACAATTTAATCTCTGGTGAATGCAGCTTCAATGAAATGTACAGAGGGATTTGTTTTCATCGTCATTTGGACGATCCAGTGATTTTACGTCGGAGATATTACATTAATTATTCCTACAAGTGTCAAAATTCTCATGAATCGCGCATTTTATAAATGAACAACAAATTCCATCCAACACGCGTCAATTTGAATTAATCAATACTTTTCTCAAGTATCTGAAATATCCAATAAACAAATCAACTAGTTTTTCAATTCTCTAATTAATAAATATAATTTACCCAGAATTTAGAAAAAAAAAATGGAAAAATGAAAAAATGGATTGATTCGTATGGGATGAATAATTTGAGTGGCAATTTTGGAAAAAAATGATTCATTCAAATGGGATCGGTGAAAATAGGAGGAAAATAAAGAGAATTACTGTGCGCTGATGTACAGCTGATGCATGACGAAACGCAATGGAAAAATGAGGGGTTGAATGGTAGGGGGTGAATTGGGGGTGGCAGTGGCCCCTCATTGTTAGCCATAGGGGCTTAGGATTATAAAGGGGTTCACTCGTATTTGGCAGCTCGTCGGCACCAGATATCCCCGTGATCGATAGTTGCCCCTAGCGCGGAAGATATCACTGAATTTTGTCACTCATCTTGATCAATAGTTTTTATTGGTAGCAATAAAAAATATTCAACTACTCCATTTATTTTTTTCAGTTATTCACCGATATTCTCACCCCCTCATTCATTTGGCAATCACTCCGTTTCTTCACTGTTTTCAACCCCTACAAAACTCCTACCCCTGTTCTCACCCCCTGGGGCCAGCTGATGGGGATTCCCCCTTTTCTCTGGTCTTTGTTTTCCCTTCTTACATCGCGCCAGTGTCGTTTCGTTCCTGTCCGCGAGACGTTCGTCCAAAATTATCCAAAAATTCTCCCGATCGTTTAAAAATATTTTGACAATTCGTACGAGTTTTGTGGAGAAAATTCCATATTCATTTTTTTTTGTTTACGTTTTACGGGAAAAACGTGTCTATTTTATTATTCGAATGTTTATTCATGTGGAATGCAATTACGGGAATGGAAGAATAATACTTTATTGTTTTCGGGGGATTTTGCTTTTGGAAATTCATTTTTTGGGGAGGGGCGGTGGAAACTTTGATTTTTAGCGGTAATTCGAATTTTTGAATTTTTCTCAATGTCGGTTTATCTCGAGGAATATTGAGTTTAGGAGGAAATAGTAGATAATCTTTTTTCTTGGAAATTTAATGACCTGTTAAAAAGTCCTTTGACGATTCTGCCTGAAATCGATCGTTCTCGCGATAATCGATGATTAATACCCGCAAAAATCGATGGAAGTCCGGAAAATCGAGGAAACTGGCGAGTGAATCTGCTATATATCGAGAAAAAATATATTTCCACGATTTAAACATTACAATTATATCTAACAATCCAACAATTACTTCCCGAACTCCAGATTTTCGCCAGTTGAATCAATTAAAAAGATTCGTGTAATTCTCTGAAAATTCCAAAATGACCGATCGAATTTTGTTCAGCAATCGCCCAAGGCCGTCAGCCACTCATTCCCATTTGCCACCCCCAAAAATGAATCCCCAAAATATTCCATTATTCATCCCAAAACTACCAGTGTGATAATACACTTAATCCGTAAAAAGGCGTTCCTGAAAGGAGTAATAAGCGTAATAATAATTTTTTTCAGTGATAAATAACGAGTCTCATTATCGAGATCGAGATGGGTGAGATGTGGAGGTGGAAAGAAGTGATCGAGGATGAAGAAGCCGTGAATTCGTGGGATGGTGGCCGATGGTGAAATGATAGAGGGACAGATTGAACGTTAATCGGTAGTCAAGTCGAGGCAGAGGGCTGCACCCCGTTGAGGGAACGAAAGAGGAAGTGGTGAGGGCAACGTGGTGCGATACTGGTGGAATTGGAGGGAGGGGGATGAAAATAAAGGGGATTGTTGAGTGCGTTGAAGAAAGACAGTGATACTTTTTCCCCACCGCTTGGGAAAAACCCATTCTCCCCCCTGACGTACAGCTGAGTCGTGCGCCGGTTACTGGGTATCAGAGCAGTACAAAAATACATGGTGGTATCTCACTCTGACTGTTGGGATGTGAAAATGGTTTGGTGGGAGGGACGGTGGTGGTGTGGCCTCAAAAATACACCGCAACCACACCGCGCGGCTCCACCGCAGAAGCCACCACCACCTTTCCACCGCCCAAACGAGACCGCGTTTTCCAGTTTAACATCCTGACTATCAGTTGAGATCATCCCAGTTGTCCTGAGAAACATCATCATTCATCAAGAATATCTCCACTGGTTGACGCTTGTTCAAACAATTCTCACAGCGATTTTCAATCAGTGATCAGTGATGATAGCTGACAGTACTTGTGATTATCTTGTGGTGATTATGATGAGTACTAGTGATTAGTCCACGTGAAGTATTTATTTATTGTCTGTGATATCATTGACTTGGAGGAAGGGTGAAGTGGATGGAGAAGGTTCACAGGATTCGATGGCAATTCACTTGGAAAACGGAGAAAAATACGAGCGGTGACGAGGGGAAATAAGAATTTGCAAACAGATCTGGGGGCTGTCCTTGTCGGGATAATGAAATAAGGATCAAAGGGAAGAACGTATTTGGGTCTGGATGTGGAGTGGGAGTGTGGGGGTAATAGAAGTCGGGGAAAGAATCTGGGAAACAAATTCAATTGTTGGATTTTATTCTTTTTCTTGGGGAAGAGGCTACGGATATTTGGTGAATTCTCGGTGACTCTTGGACGGCGGTTGGAGATTTATTTCGAGGGGCTGTCAATGATCTTGAGCTCATGACGAATCCTTTGAGAGATGTTCGTCCTGAGGAACGGCCTCATGGAATTGATTATCAGGAATCCAGGATACCTCGCAATCAGTCGTTAACTGGCATCAATCCTGCTGGACATATTTTTACCTCGAGGCTCAGGAAGGCTAGGGTTTCTTCTAGTAGGAGGAGAATGCATATCTCTGATGAGGCTAATGCTCAGGGAAATGCCAGTGGAAATCAGGGAAATGATTATGCACTCACTGCTGATCTCCTCGCTGAGAGAACACTCGATGGACTTCTCGCTGAACATCCTGGAGAGCTCATTCGAACTGGTGAGATATCTATTTTAGATTTAGTGCACAAATCTCATCCCAATGATTCCAGCTAAATTTATCACAATCAGATAGTTTAAATAATTTTGGATGAAAGAATATGGGAGTATAATCTACCAGATCACAGCGAGAAAAATTATTTGGGAAAATTTGTTGTGCTGTCGATGAAAATGATTGATAATTTTGGTGAAAGTGCGAGACAATTGGATGATTTTAAGTGGAATTTTGAATCTGTTAATTTTTCAAATATCTGAGTAATTTTCGGTTTGAAAATTGAGTATTAAATGCAATTCAATCGTTGACAGAAAGAAAAATTGGGAAAATTTTGGGAAATTTAATAAAATAGCAGCAGTGAATAGTGATATCTGTTTTTGGTCTGTCGTAGGCTGTCCCCACGTCGTCTGCACAGTTCTTCCTAACCACTGGAGATCGAACAAGACTCTTCCAGTGGCGTTCAAGGTAGTTGCCCTCGGGGAAGTCGGTGATGGCACCCTGGTGACAATTCGTGCAGGAAACGACGAAAATTGCTGCGCAGAATTGCGCAACTCAACGGCCCTGATGAAGAACCAAGTCGCCAAGTTCAACGATTTGAGGTTCGTCGGTAGAAGTGGAAGAGGTGAGTGGTGAAGTTCACGATAAAGAATTTTAAATGTGCAAAGTACTTTGACATCTACGTTTTTTTTCGTAAAAGGACCCGGGACTGTTGATTCAATCCCTAAATCATTCAACTTTCCGAAATTGTGTACATTAGCGTTAGGTCTCTTTTATCACTGGGACAGGACCACTCCGTCTCTCCCTGAATTAAGGATTCGAGAGGTCCTTATTTCGTCCTCATTTTTTATTCAAAGACTTCACCTTTTTTTTGCCTCCATTTATCGTGCGATTCGGCGTCTTTTGGCATTCAGATGCCAGCGGACACCGGGGATTTTTAATTCTTCTCGATTATGTCAATTATTCAGAGGTCTGAGAGGTTTGTTTCAATCTCTCATAAATCTTTACTTCCATTTTTGCCGTTTACTTCAAAGATTTTAGCTATTTCATCGCGAAGTGGTAAACTGGCGTAGTTATGTTCTGTCGAGACCCCTCTTTCGCCGATTTCTCGGGATTGAAGAAATAAATCGAATTTTTTGTCAAAACATTTTTTATTGAAAAATCTGAGAGCTATAAAAAAGGTATCAATGAAAATATCGGTATCTCCCTTCAATTCCGAGATATTCGCTGAAAACTGGTCTCGACATAAACACACTTCTCCAAGCTCAAAGTTTTATTGAATTTATTTATTTAAAATTGACAGTTTTTTATTTTAAAACATCAAATTGTTCTGGATTTCTGGTAATTAAAAGACAATTGTCAAATTCAAGAGATTATTTATTATAATATAAAAGGGGATGAAAATTTGTATATTTTTGGGATTGAAGGAAATAATTTGTAAGAGCTGATTTGCTGGGAGTGAATTTTTTTTTCGCGGTTAATACTAAAGAGTAATTGCTATCATTACCGATTTTCGAAGGGTTCCGTTGGTTTTTATCAAGTTTTCCGTGTCTCAGGACCGGGGAGGAGACAGGGTAACGAGACGTTCTTTAATTCTTTTAATTCCCACTGAACGAGCAAACTCGAGATCCCCCGGACTGACAAACACAAATACCACTGGCAAGATGAGTAACGAAAAGCGGATCCCTCCCCGGGTTCTGCGTTCTGGAGACATTCCAAGGAACTCTCGCAATCGGAAAATAGGAGAGGGAAAAAGGAGTGGAGGAACGCAAGTTTCAAGGAGTCACGGACGTACGCGTTTAACGAGGGGGCGTTCGACTTGTTTATGGCAAATTGGAAAAGGAAATTGCGGACTCGTGGATATTCACTCGTTCTTCTCTGATGGGTTGTGAATTTTTTCCCCTTCCACGCGGTTAATATTGACTTTTTTTTATCCATTTCATCCGCGACTGTCAAACGGCTAAATTTTTTTTCATCAACAATACGTAAACATTCATTTGTCTACATTTTCCTATTATTTTTTCATTTCCATTCAAAAATATTTAGAATATAATCCGTACCATTTAATTTGAAACTTAAAAAATATTTAATTAATCGGTTAATGTAGATTTAATCTGATAAATTATTGTGTTGTAAAATTATTTCAGTCGTCCGGAGAATTTTGGAAGAATCTTGATAATTGACAGTTGTCAATTGGACTTGACAACTTGATTTATCTAATCGATTTTAAATATTGAATACATCAGTCGTGAAAGATATTTTCTCTCAGTGAAATTCTTTGGAAAAATCAGAAAACTCTAGGTGAAGATTTTTTTGTTCCCCAGTAAATCGCGGATGAGGAGCACATTTCCAGTTGACGAGGGGGTGGAGGGGGTGGAGGGGGTGGATATCAAGAGGGGGCAAAAGCGAGTGGTTGGCTGTAAGCGGCTTTGGTTTCCATGGCAGTAAGCCCTCATTACTGTATTACGGCGAGCCCCAACTACCACCCGTGGGTAAATGCACCAGGAAATCCCCCCAACGGGCCCCATCTTCACCTGGGGGGCACGAGCAAAAATTGGCCTTAAAAAAAAAATCCACCCCCATCTCTCAGTCCCTGTGGAAACGAGTGGAATAATCTTTCGGTTATGAACAAAATGGGGGATGATGGCGATATGAAAAATTATATGGGAAATTTTTTTCGTCAGAGAAACACTGAAAATAGTTTCGGGTACATCCACGGGGTAAATCTCGATTTATAATGTTTACGTTGTAACCGAGGGCCATTCTCATGGGGTGCACAGGTGCTTCACGGTTTATAAAGCCATCCGGGGGCTGCGGTGTTGACCACGAAAACCCAACGGAAAATGGAAATTGTTGGGATTCACTAAATTAACGGATAGCGCTGAGGTGCTCTGAATTCTGAGTTCAGAATTTGTCGCGCCATTTGTCTTGATGATTATTCTGATTTCAAATTCCAATCACTCGATGCAAAGAATTAATTAATTTCCATTTAAACAAATGGTAATTCAATTTTTTTTATAAAATAAATTGTAATCAATTATTTGTCAGACAACAATTCTCCAAAAATTTTGATATATTGTTGTAGATTTTAGTTGTTCAATAAATTTTATTTATCCAATAAATTTTTTTACATATGCCCATATAATTATTATGGGCACACGTAAAAAAAATGGAAAAATTAGTGGAAGAGATGGAAAAAGGGAGATGAAAGGGCAGAGTCCAGTCGTAATTTTCAGGAATACTCTTTGTAAACTAATAAATCCATCGTTAATAACCAGAATGATTGATCTACTCCGAAATACAATGAAAGATATTCAACCCTTCCTCCGTGAGGATTCGATACCATCCGAGTATTAAGAGGGGTGGACTCTCATAGTTCAGGATCTAACTGTCGATACATCTGGATAGCGACTTTTTTCCTTCGAATTCAAATGCACTCTCATCCCCTTGCTCCGTATTTTTAACCCCCGTATTTCATGGCGCTCCTTTCCTCAGGCTTTTATTATTTTTTTTTCCAGAGCCCACGATAAAACACAGGTAACTCCGGTATTTATGCGATGTGCACGGGATTTTTATGCGTACAGGGGGTCAGGGTTGAGGCGCATCAGATTTTTTTTTCAACTGGAAAACTTGAGGGGGTGGGAACTGTGACTCCTAGCACCGGGGGGTTGACGCTAATCCGCCGTCGAGGATGCTGAGAGCTCGGAGACAGGGAAAATCTGACGAGGATGATAATGTTACAGAGAACTCTCTTGTTGGTTATCTTTTATCTGTTGGACTTACAGGGGGTGAAAATTTTCCGCATTTCCCGGGACGTCTCAACCCCCTGCATGCGTAAAAATTATATTTTCAGATTTATCTGAATAATATCCAGATATATGAATATATTTTATATATTTTATATATATATTCAAGATATATGTCTAACGCTCATATCCTATCCTATTATAATCCTATTATAAAAAGGGCAAACATCGAGACTATCGATATCTCGAAACTCTGTCACGCTTACTCCTCATTGGTTCAGTCATCTGAGGCGGCTAATTTGAATTTGGAACTCATTTAGATTAACAATTTTTAATCGCGATTTTTATAATTACAGCGCGCGGTGGCGCGTTCGTTCTCGTAATTTAAATATTTGATATACAAGTAGAATATATGAGATATATCTTTGGGGTACTTGTCCCGCGCGGCGTGACTAATCCGCTGATTAATAATTAATATTATCACGATATTTAATTAGGTCGATAGGTCGGGAGTGAGGAATGCCGTGCATTCAGAAGCTTCTCCACGGTACAATAAAAATCTAAGCAAGATGGTAGGAGCATCTTTCCAAGGCCACAGTTTACTGCCATGGGGGTGATGCCATCCAACTATCCGTATAACTCGTGAACGATGTCAGGCATTTTAGGGGTTGGTGTTTATGAGGCATTATGTGTAACTCCCTGGAAGAACCATCTCCAAACGATCCCCATTCCTCGCCTTATTTCGTCCCTTAACTAGACGTACAGCATCTGCATCACACGTTGTTGCCAGATGATATTCATCTGAGCTTGGTATTTATTTTTTTATTTACGTCGTACCAGGGAAACGATTGGAAATTTATATTAGATTGTCTTCAATAGTTGTGTTTATATTTTGAATTTTTATGAGATTACCAGAAAAATGGATATAATCCAAGAATTATAATTGTGGTATAGTTTATTTACTGGAATTATATCGTTAATATACCCAATTTATATTTATATATTTATATATTTATATATATATTTTTTCTGGGAAATTTACGATTGAATTAAAAAATGAAAAATATTAAATTTCTCTGAATTATCATTATCATTAAAATAATTATAAACGAAGGAGTATTAATTAAGATTTGAAGTCATCATATAAATCTTCTTCGATGTCAGTTCTTTTTTTTTCTCTCTGTGTACATGATATCAAAACATTGAGGCGTTTACATAAGAATCACCTGTTAAAAATTCCCCTGTTTGCGAAAACGCGCACACATATCGTCAAGCCGACGGAGGGAATCGTCGGGATCGCTCCTTCCAATGTTTGTCCTGTTTTATAATTCTGACATTTTGACTACTGACGTGTGCGAACTCAACGAGTTTGCAGAGGCCTTATTTGAGGACACATCGCGTGCGGAGAATTCGCCTGAATTTTATTACGGATCAATTATCCCCATTAAATAACGATTAATCTCATGATAATTATATTATATATTATATATCTATATCCATCTGATAATAATTATTATATTATTAACTATGTATTATATTTACATTGGCTAAAAATTGATTTCGATAAGTCGAACTTATCCGAGTATTTATCATTTCGCAACCGCAAATTAGATTGTCTCTTTAATAATTAGATAATTAGATAATTATATAATTGGTTAATCATTTTACTATATTAGAGATTGAGATGATTGAATTATTAAGATTGAAAGATACAGGGAGACGTGATAAATATGAATAAAACCAAAAATAGTGGGCAGTCCGGGAAGTTGTGAACAAGTAGAAACGGAAGGTATGAAGTCAGACGGTCCGATATGTCCGGCTTTCGTTAATGGATAATCGCAACTGTCGTTCACGTGTCCGTAAAAGTTTTTCAAATAAATGACGACGAATGGGCATGAAGGGTGATTAAAATCTGAGCGGATTCACGGATGTGCGCGGAGCCAGAAAACGAGACGTTCTAATATGCGAGAGACTTCAGAAGACTGAAAACGCGATAAAAAAAAAAAAGAAAAATACTGGAAAAAAAAAACAGTGATATTAACATATGTTGAAAAAAAGAACAGACGAAAGTACAGGAGATGGACAATATTCCGAACTTGATCACGGGAGAAGGTGGAGGGCTAAAAATAATGTTTAATCGGTAGAAAAACTCAGGGTGGATTCAGTGATCCGGGGAAAAACAATGGCACTTCCCTCGTTCCTCTCTCTACCATCCCTTAGCACTCTCACGGCCACTTGGGAGGGTGGATTTTTTAATTTTTAATTGGAAGAAGGAGGGGGAGGAAAATAAACGAATGCACGATGGGAAAGAAACACTGAAATGCCAGACTGAGATAACGCGTGCGGTCGTAATGGGACGCTCATGTTGACATCGGATTTACGTATCTTGAATAAATCCTTTCTTTTTCATTTAGTTTTTGATTCCCAGCTCAGCCGATTTTTCCTCATTTTTCTCATCACGAAAATCCAGCTAAAGGAATCTAAAACTTCTTCACGAATTTAGTTTACAATTCCGCAATTTATTTTATTTTAATAGCACATGGAAAAAATTATATTATCTCTCATAAATAAAATTTATAACAATATATTCAATAATTCTCATGCAGCATATACATATATTATAATTATTTTCAAAAAATTGTTTAGGGAATTATATTGTTATATTATTAAATAAATTGTATTATATATTATAATTATAATTAACAAAAGTTGTTTTGTTTTCAAGCTATACCTTTTTTATTTATGAAAAAAAATGGTCAAGAAGTGCATCGATTTTCCAAGCACCGAGCATTCTTGAAAGTACAGTAGAAATAAATTTCCCTCTCTTAAAACTGCAGACAGGCGACGTATGCTCTGCAACTTAAATGTCGTGGTTCACCATAAAAAAGCCCGGAAACAGCCGCCCCCCACGTTCCACGAAAGAGCCTCTGGTCATAAAATAAAAACATGCAACAATAACACGAGCACGAGTGCGTTATGAATTTCAATGGTGTAAAAGGGCCGACGGTTCGGCATTTATCTTGATGGTTCACACGTTGCAGAAGTTCCACCTCCAGATTTCCCTCACAATTCCACCGATCGCCAATTTTAATCGAGAGCTATCGAAAAAAACAACATGGAATTAAAAAGAAAAATTCCCATCGAATTAATTCGATCAATAAAACACACGCATGTACCGGAATATTTTCTCCCGATTGGCGAACGAATAAAAAAAAAATGTAAAGTTATTTAAATAGTTGGGGTAAACATCGCCGCAGCGGCGCCATTCAGTTTTCACCCCTTACTTCCGGCACATTTGTGTTTTGCGCCCATCGATCCCACGCGACATTGGCCATTATGCGAATTCCCCCTCATCATCTCCAAAATTCATCCGACGAGAAGAAAGTATCCATCAGAGCCAGTCCAAAAAGTACAACAAGCGGAAAAACGTAAATAAAAGCCGTCAGACTGAAAATAGCGTTCAAGTGTAACGAACTGTTTATAAAACATAACATTTGCCTAGTCTGATGTTTCGCATGACTATGACGCCTCCGGATCGTGCGAAAGTAGTAAAAACATGAAAAAAAAAAAAAAAATGTGTGAAATGGGGTGGGACGGGAGAATGGTTGGATAAAAAATAACACGATGCCCCGACAGAATTGGATTTGAATAATGAAAGCGTGAAAAAACCGTAGAAACCAAAGCTCTACCCGCACCTTTATGGTTTTTCATTCGTTTTCGCGGTTGAGCTATCGTCCCACTGGGGTAGGAAAAGCGTTTTCCATTTTTTTTTCCCCTCTCTGAATATCAAGTTGATGCCAGCGCGGAAACGAGCCATTTTTTTATGATTCGTTGCGATCGTTAATTGGATTGACAAAGTGGTGATGAAGGAGTGGATTCGCGTGATTTGTTGGATCGTTGGAGTAGATTGAGGGTTGATCAGTCGATGTTATTGTTCTCAGGTAAAAGCTTCACTCTGACGATTATGCTGCAGACTCAACCGCCGCAAGTCGCTACATTATCTAAAGCAATCAAAGTGACTGTTGACGGACCCAGAGAGCCCAGGTCGAAGACGAGTAAGTAGAGCTGAGACTTTAACTTCAAACTTGAGACTTTAAAATGTCTTGATGAGAATCTTCTGAAAGTTTTGGCTTGGGGCTGCAAGTTAAATCTTTGAGAAGTCATAATTTCAAACTTGTCAAGTACAAATTTAAAGACCTTGAAGACTCTAAAGTCTTTAAAGTCTTTGAAAACTTTGAAGACTTTAATGTTCAACTTGAGATTGTCTGACTCATTCTGAGTCCTCTTCCAAGTCCTTCCTTCAATCTTCTGGAAGCGTCGAGTTGAGTTGAGTTGAGTTGAGTTGAGTCTCAAGTTCGGACTTTTAAAGCTTCGAGTCAAGACTTGAATTGTCCTTGAACGACTGCGTGATGTCAGGACTGGTTGAAATGAACGTGTGAGAAATGACCAGGAATTTTTGATAGGACTGTAGAAATTTCTGAAATTGTTTACGACCGCCTAAAGAAACCAGCTCACGTTTTCAGGACAGCAGGCCTTTCATCCCTACCACTATGGACCACGGCCATTTCCCTTCGGACACCCTCAGGACCCGTTGGGATTCAAGCTGTCCGGTAAGCTCTCCTACTCCACAGGAAAATACCAATTTTCATCACCAAGAAGTTCACCCTCTTCATCATTCCCAAAATACATGTCCTTTTCGGTGGAGACTTCAGCTACCCTCACGTCGATAGTGTAACGAAGTTTACTGCCTTAACCACCCTCTTGCACTCAGATTAGACTCACCCCCGTACTCCTCAATTGAAACACTCCGTCCTTTGACACCACATCCCTGTCCCTCCTCAGCACCACTTGCCTCTCTGTCGTCTGATGATTCAACGCCATCACCTTTGCAAGGTGGAGTGTCAAAATTGGGTGACAGAATCGAGTTTTCCTGCTGCTCCTGGGGGAAAATACTGATTAACCAAAGCATATCGCAAGATCGCACGTCCAAACAACTCGAGTCAATTCGAATCAGGTGTCACAGTCTGTCTGACTCAACCAAATGTCGAGCTGTCGATTTTTTGACCCGCTTCAACTCCACCTTTCACCTTGAGTCAAATCTTCTGATTGATTCAAGTCGCATTGTCCTTGATTTACCCCCCCCCCCCCCCCTCCTCGACTTTATTCAAATTCATTCAAATTGATTCAATCCCGATTCAAGTCGGACTCAAGTCTTTCCACATCTGTTCTACCCATCCAAATGAATAACCTCCAAGTCCTTCAAGTCATCTTCTGCCCCAACCAATTAAAATCAATGCTGTTTGGTGTGCGATCTGCAAGTAAAAAATCCTCGATTCCCATTCGCGAATCATCTGCTTGATCCCCGAATTTTCAATTGTCGGATTTATAAGGGAAAAATTGGAATGACGAACAAATCGGTACCGAAGTCCGCAATTTTGACGGGGGACTAAAATTCCACCAAACTGCCCCGTGGCGAGGGGGCGGGCAGGGGTGAGCGCGGAGGAGTGCAGGGGTTGGTGAGAGGGAGGGGGAGGGAGGGCTTAGACTGAAGAGGGGACAAACTGATACTGGTGCACCGACAGTGTATTGTTTCGGCATGATAAGCAGCTTAACGGAAGTTCCCTCTGCCTCCGCAACTCCTCCACCAATCTCTCCACCAACTCCCACGCATTTTACCAACTGTGTACCACCCTCCTACCACCCCACCGCCCCCCCCAACGATCTTTTTCAACGAGACTACTGATGGAGCTGTCCCATTCCCATGGGATTGGTATGTTGGAAATTCACCCTTCGATCTCTGTTACTAACCCATTCTGTTGGAACTTCCCTTTTCTTTTTTTACGAATGTTGAATCATCTTTCGGGGATGGAGGCGGGAGGGTGGAGGAGGGTAGCATGATTTTTCATGACTTGTCATGACTTGTCATAGTGGTTTACATGATAAACAATTTTTTCACATAATCTTCGGAATCTTGGAAAGTTTTAATTGGGCGAGGTCAAAGCGGAAGGAAGAGGGGGATGAGGAGGAAAGGGGGTGGTATTGAATGGTTTAGGGCAGATTTTTTTGACTTTATTGAAATTGATTAAAGTAATTGTTTAGGATGATGTTTGGAATTGAAATTATTTTTTTTTTTTCGGATCAGGGTAAATTATCTATTTCATTTTTACTCGCGGCATTACCATCAGATCCCCGAGTCTAATGAAACGTTCATTCAAATTATTTGCCGCCACGTACCGATTCAACCCTTTCACTGGAGTCTTCTGGATTTTGTCCAGAGATTGCGCCACTGGTCAGTCCGGTCAGTGTGAATCCCGGATGTTCATACACCGACGAACACGTGAAAATCAGTAGGTGTATCGCTGGCACGTCGAGGGTGGATTTTCCAGGGGTGGTTTATTAGATATCCTCTGAGAAAAAAAAAGTAGGTATGAGGGGGAGGCGTTTGATAAGGAGCGAATGCGTCAGTGGAGGGTGTCAAATGCTCGATGAAACGAACCCGAAGGATGAAGACCTCTAGGGGTTGTTAAGGTGCCCATTGAGGTGTAACTAGGGGGATGTTATTAAATTTCGTTCGGCCTACCTCAGCAAGTTGGGGGAGAAGCCAGTATTTTCGGGTGTGGGTGGGGGGATTTACGAGGGGGGGGAGAATATGCCGAGGGTGGAATACAATGAGGTCCAGTGAGAAGTGCACTTACACTCGAAAAAATTACTTTCACCAAAAAATCACAAAATATAATACGAAAAATCAAAAGAAAATTATAAACATTGAAATGACAATTGAAATAGTAAATGAACTTGAGTTTTAAAATAATATAATTTAAAACAAAATAAATATAATCTGAAATAAATTGATTCTTTCTGGAAATGCGAGATCTCTCGCGAGCCGACGGTTTCACCTATAAATTGAATCGCGTAAGAATGAACTCGAGAATGACTGGGGAACTTTAAGGATTGGAATTTCCCGGTCGGTGATTAAGACGGAATGACTGAAAAACTCAGAGAGAAAATAGAGACGAGAGGAGACAGAGTTCTGTGAAGATCATTCTCAAGATTGTCCAAGAAAGCACCCTCATCACCAGCGGCACATCCCTCCCGCGCTCGTTTCCGTTTTTTTTTCTTTTTTTTAAAAAAAAAAACCAACCCTGCTCACTTTTCTATCTCGTCAGTTTCATTCCCGCGGAGTTGAAGGGGATGAAAAATCGCGAGAACCCTGGGATTCGAGTTAACAAGAACACCGCGTACTTCCTCTTACTCCTCTCTCCCTCCACCTTTTTGTCAGGCTTCCTTTTTTTTTTATCACAATCCACCCCGTGTCAATTAACCCGCCCCCGAAGGGCGGTTGGAACCGGAAAAATCGCAGCCCCTGTTTCAATAAGGTGGCCTTTACCTCATTTGGGGGAGATTGTTAGGAGCGTTCAGTTTAAAACTGTCGTGGCCCCTTTACCGTTTCCTCCTTTTAAGTTGCGATCGCTTTCCAGTAAATTCACGTGGCAATTTTTACTCGCCTGGATGTCAGAGGGGTTGATCCTCACTGGAGAATTCATTGTTAATTAATTCGTAAGATTTTTTTTTTTGAGGATCTTTTCTTTGCACTCTACTGGGTCTTGTCACCTTTGTTGTTTTGGCTCCTCTAACTTCTCGTTGGACTGGTACATGGCTTGGTTTAATCAGCTCGGCTGACCAGACCTCGTCCAGTTTGTTGAACAACTCTAATGACACTTCGTGAACTTTACAGCCCTATAGGTTACCGGATTATCTGCTGAGAATAAATAGCAAGGGTCGCAGCAATATGTCACTCGAGAGACGTCAGATCAAAGTTCATCGAAGAATATTTAAAGGAGAAACTCCACACGACAAAATAGCTAGCATATGCGTTCTCTATATTCTCAACTATATTCTGCCTGACTGCCCGACCTTTTTATCGTAATTTATTCATTCAAATAATTAAAATATTTATAGATTAAAATTGTTAAAATTGGTAATAGATCTTCAAGTGATTAATTTTGTTGTTTCTTTATTGACTTGTTTTTGGTAGTTTCTCCAGCTGTTGGGATGATATTCTGAGGAAAAAGTTGATTCTCCAGAATTTTTTTTATCATCCGCGGAATGGATGGTATCCAGGGTAAGGTACAGACGCGATAATGAGACTGGGCATAAAAGGCTAGGGGAGAGGGTACCGCTCGGCAAAGACACCAAAGACTACGACCAACTGGTAAAATAGAAGGGAGAATAGTAGACCAAGGCAAAAGGAAGAATAGATGGGTTGAAAGAAACAAGGGATGGGGTCTGTAGATACTAGAGAAGGGTTTTCACCCCTCCGACAAGGGGTTAACGCCTGGAATAGGAGGACCATTCGTTTTGCATAGATTTGAATAGCTAAAGAAAACGCGTAACCATTTCAAATTACTTTATTACCTCAAGTACCTCGATAAGATTAACCGACATATTTTCCATTTTCCCGATCTTGTAATCAGTCTCTTTCATCCTCGACCGGTCAATTTCTTAGAGTCTCTTATACGAGGGGCTTTTACACAGCAAAATCCAATGCAAGCTCGTACATCACTCTACATTCTTCCCGACTTCGATACGCGGAATAAGGGAAAGGGATGGCTTGGGGGGTAGCTCCACTGAAACCCCACAAAAGCCGTAACATTTAAGCTCAACATTTCTCACTCCCTCAAAGGGGTTAAACTTTGGCCTCCTTGAATCCCCTTTTCCAACCTCTTTCCAAGAGCCCCACTCTCATTAGTCTCCATTTGTTTTCGAAATTATCACCCCCATTTTCACCCTGCATTCATCTCATCCATCCTTACCGAGCGCGTATTAAACTTCATTAAATAATGATTAACGAAGAGGTCAATCGTACTTTCATTTTGTATTTTATTTTTGATGCGCCTGTCGAAAAATGTCAAGTTGATAGTGAGACTTGACTTGTTCGTGATTCATGAAATTTTCAACAAAAATCCCTGTAAAATTCTACATCCTTCACCATCTCTTCACTGGCAATGCCTTAATCCTCTCATAACCCTTCCTCCGCTATAACGCAATCTAAAATCCAGCATAAATACAGCGGAAATGGTTTGCCAGTAATAGTGAATGTGACTATCACGGCTGCACTCGTGGCTTCAGTGTGCGGTGGTACGCGAGAGATAGTGGTGTCCTCTGTCTGCCATCGTGCGCAGCTTAAACGAGAGCTTAAAAATTCACTGCCCCCCCTCTAGGGTATGGGCACTCGGTGTTGCTCTTTCATTCTCTTCCATTCTCCTCCATTCTCTTTCACTCTCTTTCACTCTCTTTCACACTCTTTCACCCGTTTATCCGTCGATGCTCTGGTGGCCGATGGCGCCGGTAGCTCCCTCATGCGGAGTTTTTATTAATTATTTGAGCGTCTCTCCCTGTTCCTCTCATCCCTCTCGCCCACGGAGTTTTCAACATCCATCCCCCTGTCACCCTCCCCCCTTCCCCACCACTTCCCCACTTACTCACCTTTCCCAAAAGCTCGTTGCAGGGGTTTGCGGCCAGCCAATCCGGCCGGCCGCAATCTCCGCGAGGTACGCCCACGCGCCAGTGACTCGGTTTCCTACCCCACCCCAAATATCAAACCTTCCCCTTCTTTTTAACTTCTAACCCCACCTGTATACCACCTTTTCCTACTCTTCATCCACCCCCACTCTTAAAAGCTCCCACTACCGTGTATTCTTCTGTCCTTCAGTGCTACCCCTTCGTTACCATCATCACTGGAAATACCAGTGGAAGGGACAGTATTGGTGAGGACACACGTGAAACTGGTGAGAAGGTGGGAGTTCTCTCATATTGTCCCACTCCACTTGGGAATCAATTCCACCACACACTGCGCTTTGGTACAGAGTCGCCAACAGCCACCGCTCGCTGGATTTTCAGGAGCTTTTCCGGATTTTTTCTTTCTCTTTCATTTTTCTTCTTTTGCTCCAACTGGGCCACACAGATGACGATATAATCTCCTATTGATCATTTCACTTTCCACCTCTTCTGTCTTTCAACTTCACTGACCCTTCCAGCACATTGTTCTCGTATTCCTTTTGCAGAGTCAATTCCAGTTTCAATATCAATGAATTTTCCGATAGTCATGACAGCCATCAGAGGCATTCATTTGTGGTTCCGAATCTTGAATGAAAAGATAATGGTGTTGATGATGGTTGATGTTGATAACAGGACTGCCACATCTCGGTCTTGAGCAGGCTGGTGGGCAAGGGTGGGGTGGTCTTCCTAGAGGGTCTCTACCCCCTCACTGTCTTCCGCCACCACCGGGTCACCTATCGCAGCCACATCCGCCACCGGGCGCCGGTGGCACAGTCTCTGCCTTCAACCCCTTCCATCACGCCATCGAGCAAAGATCACCTCGACTGCCAGTTTCTAATAGCGGTAAGAATGAAACTCAATTCCAATGAAGCAGAATTATGGTCATTACGTTCTTTTGTTCCGTAATGCAGAATCAGCGAGGAACGACTTGGGGCCGATAAGCGTTGCTGTGCGGGAATCAGGGCAAGCAGACTCGCCGGCCAATTCTGGTCCTGGATTACTGACAACTGCATCAGTCACAGTACCAACACCACCTGCCGAGTCGACGACAAATAACACCACTTCAAATTCACCTGGACATCACTTGCAAGGTATCCAATATCTTCCATTGCAGAAGACCGCCTGATTAATGAGAGAACTGAAAGGCTGAATTTTTTCAGGTCTTCATTTCCTTCGAGCACATCCGCTATTTGGATCGATATTTGCGCCACTGCTGCCTCAAACCCCTTGGCTGTACAATCCGCTGTCCTATCATCCACCTCAGTACATGGTGGAATCAGAGTGGCATAAACTCGCTGTTCACATGCAGCAACGTCTGCAGAGGCCGGACCACGCGAGCTTGGAGGATCTCAAGCAGTTGAGAAGTACGAGCGGCAGTCCAAGTGTGAGTTCCAGGGATGAGAGACGGAGGGAGGACGGTGATCCGGACGGCTTGAGGGACACCGAGAGTCCAGACGGCAGCATCGAAGTCGACGATAGAAATGATCAGGATCCCATATTCGAAGGCCGAAGCGAGGACTCATTGCAGGAACAGGAATCACCTCGTATTTCACCGGTGAGAAGTGACATGGAAGATAGTGTGAAAGAGGACTTCAGAGATACTGAGAAACGCTTGAGACCGAGTATTGAGAATTTGAATGACATTGATAGTCAGAATGAGGATCAGGCCGCACGTAGAAGCGATTTAGCCGTGAAAATACGGCTGGAAGGTACCGTTGATCTCAGTACCAAGAGGGGCCAAGATAAGGAGAATGTTGGTCAGGATTTGACGACGAGGAGAAAGGATGACGATGTTGATGTTGAGAGGGAGTCTGCTAGACCGAGAAAGGATAGAAGCCCGAAGCCCAGGCACGTCTGGAGACCCTATTGATGTTCGAAAATGAGCTTTCGCCTTTCAATGGACATCAATCAGCAATCAATTATTTGGTGGAGACATCTGGAGAATCTATGATTGGTTGGTGAGGGTGAATTTTATCAGATATGGGGGACTTCGAGGACTAACCAGGGTTTCATTGTTTTTTCATTCGGCATGTACAGAGAAATGCTTCTTTAATTTAATTTATTATGAGAAGGCTAAGCTATCAGGAATGATCATCGGTAATCTGATATCTCAATCGTCAACTTCATATAGAATGATCTCTAATTGTCATCTGTAAATAACTTAAGGTGTAAGAAAAATCCCGAATATTATGAATGAATTTAGTGTAATTATGATCATCTTGATGTTCTTTGGAGATAAAAGCCACAGAATGGAGCATCTTTATTTGGCAGAGTAATTAGGTTTTATCATGTTTAGGTAATGCCATCGAATAAATATCATTTGTTCCATCAACTTTACCTGATGATCCGTTTCTCATCCATTAGTCATCCTTTGTTTGGAGGAAGGTATCTCGTTATAAGCAACGATAACCTGCCATGATAGCGATCCTATTGGCAATGCTCTCCGTTCCAATCCAATAATTTCCTCGGTATTGCAATATAGGGTGGGAAAATATCTCCTCAACCCACAATCCTTATATCAGTCTATACATTCGAAAACAGTTCAACACAAGTTGATTCGTTTTTGGACGAATAGGCTAGGAAGCTATTTGTGATTGATGGAAATACAAAGCGAATGTGGCCGCACACATTGGAAGATAGCGGTGGTATGGGGTAGAAAATCGGGAGATAAAAAGCCCGCAATAACCAGTTTTCCCAAGCATTATTTTCCGATTGAGTTACGGATGTACGAATAAGCAATTACCCACTCGGTTGATACGTAATGTCTTTCGAAAGCTGAACCACTGTCCAATACCCAATCGAACACCAAATGTTATTCATGTCGGTCAACACGGAAAAACATTTATTCTCCAAATATATCTTGAAATATCTGAAATTGGTCGAGTTCGCATTAAAAAAATCGATAAAACAATCGTTTTTCGACGGGCGGCGGAGGCCGATCAATCCGTCGATTCGGCTACTCCAAAAGTAATCCATTCTAATCTCTGCCATCCTGAGGGTAGGACAAAAAATATTTCGTCAAAAAGTCGATCGAATGACCAATTCACCAGATGGTAAGTAAATTTTTTGATTTTCATTGAGTACTACTGAAAAATCCGTGTCGTCATTAAATCCATCAATACCCAAGACTTCAGCCAATTAACCCGGGTCTCGTTTTCGAATGAGTCAGTTAATGGATTTATTTCAATACCAGAGCTGGGGGGGAACACGAAAAGTGAGGTTATGTTGGCAAATCGATCGTATCGGACGGACGAGCACGGGACACTATTTTTTTTACCTCTATTTTTTTCCCTCCTTTTTTTTTACCCCCAATCCGCGGGTACACGCTGCTGGTCGGGTTATCGCAACAAACTACCCCAATGACGACACGATTAAAATTTCACGGGTAGGGGGACACGATAGAGACAGAGAACAAGGGTGAACAGCGACGAGTGCATAGTGGCGCAGCAACGCGGATATGTTCGGAACAAACCTGTCTCATAGCGTGTTCACTCGGTAGGTTCGTGTATATGCCTACCTCACACCAGTTGAAAATATTTTGGCCTTCCCCATACTATCCTTTTTGGTATTCCCCTTTCGCCTCCAACGTTTCAAGGGAGGGGGGGGGGGGGGGGGGGGGGTGATTGGTACGCGACCGCAGCCACCCACAGTTTTTAATACACCCGCACCTGCACACATGGTGAGAGTGGACAACAGAGTGAGAGTCGCATGCAACTCGTCTCCGTCGCTCTCGTGTCCGGTCCAACTATCGACCCCTCAATTCACCCTCCTTTGCATCAACGTCACGACAAAACTGGATTGATTCATCGATTGTACATCCGCTCTAAATGTCCAGCCAAAATGCCGACAAAGAGTCTATTATACAATGATACACCGAAAAAATAAAATACAACTCATTCCCTCATTTTGGAGAACTTGACGTGGGACTTTAAGTGTTGACTTGACTGACGTGTGACGGGTCAAGTCTTGATTCAAGTTATTGAATTCTCAAGTTGAAGTGAGGGTTAAATAAATTTTATTTCCGCTGCACGATTGTCCTTCATCAGCGAAACACTTGTTTCCATTTATATAATCTTCGAACTGGATGTGACTGGTGGATTAAAAATAATTTGAATGCCACGAAGAGCTGAGGCTGCCCGAAGAACCTAGACAATCATCAGTGTAATCCGATTAACTGAGAGAGTGGATATTTCTCCCCCTCACGGTAAAAAGGGTTGCAAGGATAAGAGTAAAGAAAAGGAAGTCGGGTTAAAATATCTGGCGCGTAAATAAATTATAGCGGGTGGAAAAAAAAAATATATATACGAAGAAAAAAAAATCGGGGGAGAAGCGGCATCTCTCGACAGGGTGGAACGTAGTTCCGGCTAGTGTACAGAGGCGTCTGAAAGAGGAAAGGGGTGAAAAGAACGGGATCTCAACCGTTTTTTTTCACCCCCTTTTTTTCACCCTGATTTTTTTTCACTTCCTCCGCATTACTCCAGCACCTTTCATCCTTCTTCCATTTTTCTCACCCTTTTTTCGTTCGGCTTCTCCCGTTTTTGAATTTTCTCCTTTTTTTTATCATCCCCCACTTACCTCCAACTCAACCCGCCAGAGCACTTTAGATAATAAGGCCACGATGCGAACGAAGGGGTAAATTGGGTATTCGTCCGAGGAATTATCTCACTAATTTCTTTAACGTAAGCGCCATTGCCATCATTATTAATAACACCACTTGACGATCCTCAACATTTCATAACCACGCAGCGCATAATTAATGTTTGGGAGAAGTGGAAAATAGATTAGGCCTGGAGTGATCAAGTCTGGCTAGATCCGGGGTTCAACCACTGGCGGTGAATTCTCCGGTGTCTCAAATTCCACTTAATGTCTTCTATTAAACGTCTCAAGTACTTTATCTCAAATTAAAATTAATACAATAATTAACTCTCACGTTGACACTTCAAAGTTTAAATAAAATTTCTACTATATACACGGAGAGAAATATTTAGTAAAAATTACGGAACTTTCAGTTCACTTACCGATTACGGAGTTGACTCGAAAAATTTAAGTGACGGTATCGTTATTTTTCACCGATAATTCAGATAAAAATTACGGAACACCGCGGAAAAATTCCGTGACCTTGGATAAAAATTACGTGACAGTTCCGTAAAATTTCCGACAACCACATTTTGCTCCAGAATTACGGAAAATCCACGTAATTTTTATTGAATATTTCTCCCAGTGTAAAATCATAAAAACCGAGTCTTTCAAGTCTCATATTGACACTGTAGCTTTTCACGATTAAAAGTCTCAAGTGAGTCTCAAGATAAAATTTGTAATCAATTTGAATTAATTCTGTGTCTCGGGAAAAAGTAATAGATCATTATATTAAAGTTGTAGACCTTCTCAGGAAGTTTTGCCGGGAGTTCCCAAGGTCTGCCACCTGACCGTAGGGTGTCATGTCCACCCCAAATTAGATTAAAGCCACCTCGGACCCTCGACATCGAACTTGTGAGCTGAGGCGAAAGGCGACACTTGGTCGGATCAAACCGGATATTGCCTCATACCATTTAACATCACATATTAAGACTCCGGATGACCCTGACACCTTCAATTCCCCAGAGTCCAAGGATTTTGTTAACCATTCCTCAAAATTTCGTCCACTCAATCCTCAAATGATTCGATCTATCAATTAAAAATAAATTTCATTCAATCAACGAATTAAAAATCAAATAGCTAGATCCCAAGAATCGACTCCAATCAAGAAGAAAAAATCCTTGAGTTCCGAGTCTCTTGATGTACCTCAGATAGACTCGGATCGATCATCAATTTAAAGTGGACTCTCTCGATTTGATTTATAATTAATAAATGAGTGAATGATTAATTATTCAATCGATGAATTAAAAATCGCAGGTCATGAGAGGATTTAATCTGGAGTCTTGAATTCAGGGATTCCCAAAATCTGGATTCTGCGCAAGGACTTGAATCAATCTTATTATTTTTAAATCCAACGCATTCCCCGGGATATTACAAGACCGTTAAAGGTCCTACCATTCCACTTGGGAACTAATAATAACAAACGATCGGACTATCTCTGTGTGAGTGAAAGGGGGTGAGTGGATCGTAATTCGTATAAATGATAGCGCGGCCGATCGACTAGGTCGAGGGGGTAGTGTAGCTAACACAGACACGTATCTATCGAAATGGCTCTGAAATTAGATCCCACCCCTCGAAAGGTCCGAGTTCGACAAATTCGGTTAGCCGTTTGTAGTCAAATGGGGGATGGGTGTGTTAGTATGGGGTGCAGTGAAAAATGAAGCCTGAGGTAATGCTCGAGAGGATACGCCCGACGGAGATTGTCTCAGATTCTTGCCCTTTCTCGGACAATCTTTCACCCCCCCTTCCCCAGAACATCTCAAATATATTTCAAAAATATACATATATAATAAATACTCCCAGTATCTCCAATTGCATTCATTGAAAATTTTTTTATTTATAAATAATAGAAAATATTCTACCGACAGTTTTTTAAATAAATTTCAATTCCTTCCTGATGTTTATTCTCGATACATCTTCATTCCCAAAATTTTGGATAGAAAAACTTTGATGCAGTTGTATTTTTTTATGAATAAATTAAACGATTGGTTTATTTAAGAATATTTTAAATTGCTGGCCTGTTCAGGCATCAACGGATAAATTTAATATGCGAGTATTCCTCCGTGAGTTTTTCCCAATTTTCGATTCACCGAAAAGTCCTTCATTTCCCGTGTCTGAACAGAGAAAGAGAAAGAGAAAGAGAAAGAGAAAGAGAGAAAGAGAAAGAGAAAGAGAAAGAGAAAGAGAAAGAGAAAGAAAAAGAGAAAGAGAAAGAAAAAGAGAAAGAGAAAGAGAAAGAACGACTGAAGCCTTTATTCTATCTCCTGAGACTATCAACTTCCACCATTCAATATTTTAATGTTACGGCTTTATGAGTCTTTGTCCTTAGCGCTCCCTTCCAGGCAGATATTTTTTTTTTTTTCCGTGTGTTTCCGATGCAAGCCCTTACCCAACCCTCTCGCGCCCTGAAGCTTTATTTAGCAGATGATATTTATGACTTTCAATCTCAATCGTGAGACATCTCCCCTCATCGCGTAAAAGTTCATTGTCTTTGAGGGACGACTGGGGGGTTATGATTTTTGTGGGTCATTGTCAACAACTCTGGGTTTCAATTATATCATGAATTTACTCGATACACCGGGGGATGTGCCTCCGATTGAA